CCCCCCCCCCTGTGATATATACTGACAGGTGCCCCTACCCCGAAATATACTGACAGGCGCACGCCCCCCACCCTGCGATATATACTGACCGGTGCTTCCTCCCCCTACCCCGAAATATACTGACTAGTTCCTTCTCCCCCTCTTGATTGTTTTTTTCTTAGAATCAGAATATCAGGGTTGGAAGGGACCTCAGGAGGTCATCTAGTCCAACCCCCTGCTCAAAGCAGGACCAACCCCAACTAAATCATCCCAGCCATCCCATTCCTCCCTCCCCCCAAATATGCTGACTGGTTCCTTCTCCCTCCCCCCTCCCAATATACTGACTGGTGCCTTCTCCTCCCCTCCCCCATGTAGTGACTGGTGCTTTCCCTCCCCCACCCTCAAATATACTGACTGGTGCCTGCCCCCCTGAAATATAGCGACCGGTGCCTCCTCCCCCCCAAAAAAAATGTAGCTACAGGTGCTTTCCTTCCCCTCCCTGAAATATAGCTACAGTTGCCTTCTTCCTCCCCCCTCAAAATGTAGCGACAGGTGCCTTCCCTCCCCCCCCCAGGAGTGCCAGGTGCCTTCCCTCCTCCACCCCCCTCAAAATGGAGCGACAGATGCCCTCCCTTCCCCCCTCCCCCAAAAAGGAGCAACAGATGCCTTCCCTTCCCCTCCCCCGAAATGTAGCGACAGGTGCCTTCCCTTCCCTCCTCCCCCAAAAAGGAGCGACAGGTGCCTTCCCTTTCCCCCTGTAATGTAGCGACAGGTGCCTTCCCTCCCCCCCGAAATGTTGTGACAGGTGCCTTCCCCCCTGCCCCCAAAAGGAGCGACAGGTGCCTTCCCTTCCCTCCTCCCCGAAATGTAGCGACAGGTGCCTTCCCTTTCCCCTTCCCCCAAAAAGGAGCGACAGGTGCCTTTCCTCCTCCCCCCCCCCGAAATGTAGCGACAGGTGCCTTTCCCCCCAGTGTAGTGACGGGTGTCTTCCCCCTTCCCCAATATAGTAACAGGTGCCTTCCCTTCCCCCACTAATATGTAGCAACTGGTGCCTTCTCTCACCTCCCCTCCCCCCAAATATAGTGACAAGTTCCTTCTCCTCCCATCCTCCCTCAAAATTTAGTGGCAGGTTCCTTCTCCTCTGCATTCCCCCCAAATAATGACAAGTTCCTTGTCTCCCCCCAAACATGACAGGTTCCTTCTTCCCCCTCTCCTCCCAGCATAGAGACAAGTTGCAGCTCTCCCCAGAGTGACAGCTCCGTTGACCCGTCTTCTTCCCCCCTTCCCAGCCCTCACTCCCCAGTGAGAGCTCCATGTATCACCCATCCACAGTCACCCTGTCCCTAATTACAGGTCTGCTGAGGGGACAGTTTCCTTTCCCTTCTTAACTGCAACCCCACTCAGGGTCGCCCCCACCCTGTTCTGCTCCAAGGGTCCTTTCTTAGTCGTCATGGAGGTGATAGGCATAGAGGAGACCTGTTAAGTCACCTCGTCTGTTCATCCTGCTGCTTTTGTGACCTTTTCATAGACCTAGGCTTCGCAGTCAATTTTTATTTTGTTATAATTTCAATGGATACACTTGAGGTTGGTTTTTAAGCATCTTCTTTGATTGTTATCAATTAAAACTTCCCAGTTGTGCAGAATTATGGGTTTGAAGCATTTTTTATTAATTTAAATGTTCACAGTTGTGGGAAATTATGGCGGGGGGGGGGTCAGACAGTAATTATTTAATGACAGTAAATGTTGAGGTTCAAAAGGTTAAAGCTTTATAACAGTTAAAAAATTAATTGCCAACATCACAATGTGCAAAAAAAAATAAAAAAATCCAGTGTAAATGTTCTTAAATCAAACTCTAATAAGTTCTCAAGCAGCATTTTTCTTACCTTGCCTATCTGTACATTTCGATTATTATCGTTAGAAATATTTGTCCATCAGTTTGTGTGCATTTTCAAATGAGCCTAACTGACTTAGGTGCCTGGGACCAACTCTCTGCCCCCTCCCCCCATTCCTGACCCAACTTTATTCAGGTATTTGTGCCGTGGTATGTGAAGCAATTTTTGTAGTACGTACAGCACTTAGAGTTCCTTTTGGATGATAGAGGATCTATACATTCATGATTGTATGATGTCGGAAAGATAACCTTGTTTTTTTGATCATTCTTCTTGTGAGGGATTCTTTTCAGTAGAACTCTTTTATATATGTGGATTTGGGTTGAGAAGTGGAGAGTAATTATAAATCGACTCCAAGGCACTGCCTTTAATAGGAGGCTGCTGGCACTGCTACTGTTAGCGTGTGTAATGTCTTTAAGAACAAAGTACTCTCTAGTTTTAAAATCTGGGGGACGGAACAACCCTTTTGTTTTAGCTCATTTGATCTGAGATGGATTTAGACTAAAGAGACTATGCTTTGATTTAGTATTTCCTTTCATGTGCAGTAGTGTAGTTCCCCTGATCTGTGAGGTTACATTTAAAATTTACGCTAGAGGGTGGTGTTTTCTCTGTTGTATTCTGACTTTCTTTAGCAAGCAACCAACTTTTTGAGATCAGTCTCTCTTATTCAAGATGAGTTGCTGTGTGTCAATTAAATTGCTTGTATTCTAAAGGAGCCTTACAAAAGATCATGAAAACATATGAGGCCAGACACAATATGTGCTTTCATGTCCATGTCATGATGTTTACTAAATAAAATTAAAAACCATATATTTTGTAATCCTTGGGCAAGAAGAGCAGTGGAAAAAGCAGCCTGCAAGCAAATAGTTTTTTCCCCCAAGGGTGCTATCAAGGGTAAAGAATAATAATGCTCTAACAAATCCAGCGTATACAGGGTGTTTGCTTCTGAGGTTGAGGTCAACCATGATGCCCAAGGAGTACATTGGGCCTGCCATTACTAGTGTGCCACCCAAAAAATATTCAGTAGTTCATCCAATGCAGATCACGGTGTGGAGGGAGGAGGAGAGTGAGTCCGATTGACTGACTGCAGGCAGTTACTGAGCTTTTAAAACAAGGGGCCAAATCATCTACTCCTCCATGCCTGAGTAGAAGATATGAACCCCAGGCAGACCTAGGTGAATGGAGGGCATACGAGGGAATACCTGCTTCATGGCATCATTCTCCTTCCCTCTTCAACTACAGGTAGTATTGTCTGTCCCCCCCCTCCCCCTGAATTGTTGATGGGGGATCCGCACTCCCAGTGGGCTGGACTCCTGCCCTCTGAAGGGTGACAAATGGCGGAGCCGTGGCCTCCAGAAGAAGAGCTTCTAAAATCTGCACGTTGTAAGGGTGACCCCCCTCCAGCCTTGCACAGAGGTTGCAAATGCCAGTCGTTCCCTCCCTGATGTGAAAGCACCCCAACAAATGGAAACTTGGGGAGTTTCCTGGCCCCTTACTTGTAGGGAAAACCCACCTATGATTTCTCACCGAGAAATCTTCCGTGAGCTTAAACAAAAAAGGAAGCTTACAAGAAGTGGAAACTTGGACAGATTGTGACGTTGTGCAGTCTATATGGTTTTATAAAAACTTGATGATAAGTCAATATAATGTAACTGGGATAGTTTTAGAGAAAATATGGTAATAAGTGAATATAACGTAACTGGGATATGCTTCATGCAAAAGGTCTCTTGTAAGGTATCATTACAAAGCTTATAATCTACTGAGTATGATCATCTGATTTGTATAAATGTACCACTCTTGTATCTAAAACTAGAAATATAAAATGTAACTCTGAGGGCCTATTGTAATTATGTAAAGTGTGGGCCATTAATGATGGTTTGGAATCTTGATGACTCCCATTAACCAGGACCATTGTCTGCAGATGGTGGTGTTTACCTGTGAGTCTTCCTGTATATGTGTGTGCTGGCAAGTGAGTAATGAAGTCTTGCAGTGACATGTGATCATGTCACCTGAACTGGAATCCATCTTTAACCTGGTGCTTTTCCAGTGAGGGGGGGGTGGAAACCCAGAGGGACAAAGGGTTCCCACCTTATGCAAAAGATATATAAAGGGGTGGAAGAGAACAGAGGGGGAGAGGAGCCATCATGAAGAATCCCCTAGCTATGACCTGAGCTGCAACAAGAGCTGTACCAGGGGAAAGAATTGTGCCCAGGCCTGGAAGGTGTCCAGTCTGAGAAAAAGCTTACTGAAGCATCTCTGAGGGTGAGATTATCTGTATTCAGTTTGATTAGACATAGATTTGCGCATTTTATTTTATTTTGCTTGTGACTTACTTTGTTCTGTCGGTTACTACTTGGAACCACTTAAATCCTACTGTCTGTATTTAATAAAATCACTTTTTATTTAGTAATTTACTCAGAGTATGCATTAATACCTGGGGGAGCAAACAACTGTGCATATCTCTCTATCAGTGTTTTAGAGGGCGAACAATTTATGAGTTTACTCTGCATAAGCTTTATGCAGGGTAAAACGGATTTATTTGGGTTTAGACCCCATTGGGAGTTGGGCATCTGAGTGCTAAAG